CACCCAGTCCACGGGGGCCCAGAAAAACTCCTCCCGGAAGTTCCCTCCCGTGACGAAGAGGAGGTTGCCTGCAGAGAGAGCACAGGGAAAGGAGGAGGCTCTGTGCCCGGGGAAGGCTGGCACTTTGCTCCTGGTTGGGAAAGGGAAAGGCTTGGCGGAGGCGGCTCCCTGCCTTCCCCGGGACCTCAGCACCAGCATGGCACTGGGCGGGTTCACAGCAGCACCGAGTTGCGCATCCCAAGGGGGGGCAGGTTGACTGCCACCCACCGAGGGGGAGGGGCGGGAGCCCTGCCTGGAGCCAAAGGTCCAAGGGGAGCCCCGGTAGCAGCTGTCGCCCAAGAAGCGGAGCCTCAAGGTAGGCTGCCTCAGAACAGTCCGTTCCTTATTGGGCCACGACACCTGATGGCCTCCCAAAGGGCTTCGAAATCGCTCACTTTGGCAATAAAGGGGGCACCTCCCCCCCAAATTGCCCAGGCCCCACCCTGGCCAGCCACGCGGTGCTCGGAAGTGAGGGGGGGCCCTGCCACCCAGAAGCAGAGCCACTGCCCAGAGTGCATCCAGAAGACTCTCCCCCTTCCTAGCTTGCAGCCCATCAGGACTTGGAGCAGAGCCCCCGACTCAAGTCCCAGCTCTCTCCTCCTTCCAGTTCCACCCTGGGCATTGGGGAGGGAGGCCAAAGGCCCAGCAACCACAAGGCGAGGAACCAGCCCCAGGGCAGAGCACCCAAGAGCCTTTCCCATGACCGTGCAGCTCTGGTGAGGGGGCTTCTAGGGAGCAGAGCAAGCCCAGAGCCGCGTTAGCCATGACTCTCTCCCTGCCCCCCTCTTGTTACGGGGCTGCAGCCCGGAGCCCACCCTCCTCCCACCCCCAGGGAAGGAGCATTACCCACGGCAGCCACAGCATACTGGGTGAGGTTTCTGCGCTTGAGCGGCGAGCAGGCCTGCCAGGCTCCCGTCTTGGGCAGGAAGTGGAAGAGCTCCTGCTGTTCTTGGTCACGCTTCCCGGCCATCACAAAGAGAGTCTCATAGCTCCGGCTCGCGCAGGGGGCCTGGGCAGCATCCTGCCAGTTGGGGGGGGGGGAAGCGGTCCAGCTCTTTCAGCAGCTGAGCCCGAGTGCCCATCCCGGGGCACTGGCTGCCCTTCACCAGGCGGCCAAGGAAGGGGAGGCTGAGGAAGGGCACTCGCACGAGGCCCATCAGCTCCAGGAAATCCTTGGCCCGCCCGGGCAGATCGGCCACTACCCACTGCATCACCGTGTCAAAGACCACGTCCTCGCAAGCCACAAAGAGCTCGTCACTCTGCAGCAGCTCCATCAGAGCCTCCTTGGGCAGCTCCTCAACCTCGCCATTGGTCACCACGTCGGCCCAGTGGCTGAGGGCCACATTGAGGGCCGCAGAACCAAGTGCCACGCAAGCAAAGTGCTGTGCGTAGGCCCTGAGGCTCAGGCAGTTGGAGACATGCAGCTCCCTTTCCAGAAAGGTCTCACAGCGCCTCTTGGCAGCCTCCAGCCGCAGGAAGTCGGCCGTCTGCAGAAGGCTGGTGACATTGCCAGGGGTGATGCCAAGGCTGCCTGTCCGGGTGAAGTCTAGAAGCGCCTGGAAGGGCTCCGCCTCAAGCCCCTGGATCCGGATGTGCCGCTCTGTGCATTCCCGGGTGCCACCAAAGAACATGGCCTCGAAATAGCTGCTGTGGCGGGCCAGGGCCCACCGGTTGACCGGGAAGCACTTCCCCCCCACTTCCAGGACTGCATCGCTCTCAGGGTTGGCCTGAACTGCCACACACGGGGACGGATCCATGGCGGCTGGCTGACTCGAGAAGCTGAACCCAGAATAAAACGCCTTCCTGTCCTGTGACCTTGGCTCCCGTTCAAACCCTGGGGATGGGCCAGCCGAGCAGTTGCTAGGCCCGATATAGACACCACTCCAACCCTAAAAATAGAGGCCAGGCTCCTTTGCCCAGGGACCCATGTCACAACCCCGCATGCCCACTTGCTGCCTGGTGGCAAACCTGCTTGCCTGTCCACCTGGAGCAAGTACAACCGTTTCCGTACAAGAGGAGAAGGAACACCAATCCTGAGGTTAGAAAAGGTGACACAAGGTAACTAGTGGGAAGGCGGTTTGGTATCGGGGCGAAGGTGCAGGCCGAGAAACCACCAGTTCCAGTCCCGCCTTAGGCATCAGCGCTGGCTGGCTGACTTTTGCACCAATTTCTCTCTCTCTCTCTCTCTCTCTCCGATTGCACAGCCCAGGGCTGTTATGAGGAAAAGAGGCGGCAGGAGTATTAAGAAAGTTTGCCACCACGAGTTGCATAATACAACAGTAGGGTGAAATGTTAGTAACTGCTCAGCTGCCCAAGTCTTTGACCCTTACCTAAACGTTGCAACAAGTGGAATTTTGAAAGACTTAACCCGAACAGGAACGATGGGGCTACACTGTGCCTGGGAGGCCGCGTGTACCTTTGGTGAAACAAGTCAGCCGTGGGCAAATCCCTCCTTGGCCCAAAGAACCATTTTTGACTACGACCGACTGCCATTTGTGTTATCTTCCTTTTTAACACCCTTATCTTTTGAGATTCAGACTACTTGGTGTTACACGTTTGCCCTCCATTATAACATTCCTAACATTAGGGAAGTTATGCAGCATTGGAGCAGCAGCGACCTGCAGACCCTATAGGAGCCTACAGTGGATTTTAAAGGCTTTATTTTAGCACCTCACTTTTACTCTCATTCATACCGCACACCTTTCATGTTATTGGTCAGTGGCAAAAGGTGGTAAGAAGCCCCCTTAGAGGGCCAAGATGAACCTCAATGGAAATTGGAAGGTGTGAGTTCAGATTTTTCTTCCCTCAGGTTTTTTTTACTCAACAAAGTCATCCATTTTAGTGATTGTCCATCAAAGTCTGCTTAGTCCTCAACATGTTCTTCATTATGACAATATGGCATTAAGTACAGAGAAATGTACAGTCAAAAATTATCCCTCAGTGAGTTGGCCTGGGAAATCTTGTATTTGGGTATAGACAATTGTTATCAATAGCTGCCGGATTACTTTCCCAACTTCTGCAGCCAATGGTCCCCCCCCCCCCCCGCTTCCCCCACCTTTCAAACACAGGTTTTCACCACAACCCGGTGACTGGCACACAAGCCCTTGCTTGCCCATTTTGTCTCCAAGATAGAAACGCCGCTTGCCCGGAGAGAGGCAAGAACCTGGAAAAGGAAGCTGGGCCACTGTTCGGCCCAGGATGTAAATGGAATAATTGCCTTTTTGCTGTGGATCAAAGTCTCTAGCCCAACAAGCAAAGATGGGCAGTTTGCCACCAAGCAAGCAGATACAGACCAGGTTCAAGATTCTATCCCAGGAATCGTTTTGAAGAAAACAGCTGTTGTGCCTCAAGCCCAGCCTACCACTTAAATTGACAGTTTACAATTTTTTCTCAATGTGCACTACCCATGAGTTTTCACATTTTCCTACATTCGACTTGTGAGAAGATTCCGGATGCGTTTTATTATTTGTCAAATAAATTCTCTTCCTTCAACAAGGAACAAAAAGAAAAAGGAATGCTCACAAACTACACACATTTTATCACGTTTCCTTTATGACTAAATGTTCACGTGGCTACTGTTCATTTGTCCTAGATGCCTTCCTGAGAAAACAACAGAGTTATCAGCAAAGATGAAGGCCTGAGGACACAGAACCAAACCAGGAAGCGATCGGATTGTTTATCCAGAGATTAAAGGAACAGGAACCAACCAGAATAGTCTGTTGGGTTTTACCAAACTTTCCAATGTGCTTTCAATGGTTTACAGCAGAAAAGATGGTCCAAGTCCACTGCAGGCAAAAGACACCATCTCGTTGTAAGACTATTTCTTGGCCCCCACACAGTGTCACGCAAAACAAGAACAAATATTATAAGTTCCTCCTCCTCATATACAAAATGAGCATAAAAAAATAATTTCTCCTGGAAATGTGGCTCCTTTCCAGAAACCGCCTTCCACTCCTCCTAAGGTCTTGAACCACAGAACAATGGTCAGCCATCTTGCTGCTGAATGAAGGGGTTCGGAATGGCTTCCATCCCGTCTTGCGGGCAGATGAGGACCACTGAGGTTCCCCTGCAGACCACCAGGCCCAGCTGGCGGGTGTCTTCCGTGAGTTTGTACTGGTCATCCGGATCTGAAGGGGGAGGGGGGGATCCGAAAGCGTTATATGGGCAGGCGCCCCTGGGCAAAGGCCGCGGCCCCAGAGCAGCAGATAGGAGAGCAGGACACACACACACACGCCCCCCCCCCCCCGCCCCGATGAGGTTACCTAGCTGGGCCACGAAACGTCCGAGAGGAAAGCCCCCGCCCACCCCCGTCTCCCACCCCTCATGGGGAGAGCCCGAGGGCCGCCGCCTGCCTCCTTCCCTCCGGTCGGGGGGACGGACGGACGGACGGCAGGGGGCTTCGGGCACCCACCTCTCATGTACTCGATGGTCCCGTCCAGCACCAGGTTGAGCAGCGGGTCGAAGCCTTTCAGGACGCCGCTGGCTGTGGGGAGAGAAAGGGAGAAATGCCCGGCACTCTCCGTGCCACCGCAACCCGGTCGCCCAGCCCACTGGCAGCCCCCGCCGCCGCTCCCGCCGCCGCCGCTCACCTTCCCGTCCGCCCTGGAACTTCACGCGGATGGTCTTGTCGATGTACTTGGAGAGGTCCAAGATGCTCTCCTTCTTCTTCTTCTCCTTGTCCTGCGGCCGGAGCAGAAGGACGTCAGGACCCGCCGCCGCTCACCGCCACCCGGAGGGGAGGAGAGCCGCCCCCCCCCCCCGACGCCCCCCCCCCCCCCCCCCACCCCGCCGCCGTCGCGGCTGCCGCTCACCGCCATCTTGCTCTCGCCGGGGATCCCGCGGCCGGGACCCTCGTGGCGTCACTTCCGCCCACGGGCCTCCCGGGACCGCCCTCTCGCCCCCAATGAGCGACGGGGAGTGCGGTCACGTGACCGGAGGGCGCCTCCGCGGGCCACCGAGACTTCCGGGGCTCTCGCGCGAGGGTCCTCGGGTCGAACCCCGTTCCGCTCCGGCGCCGAGACTGGGCTCGAGAGGGGCTCCCGGGCCGCCCCGCGACGGTCTCCGGCTTTCCGCTCCCGGAAGCCCCCCCCCCCGCCGCGAAGCTCCCCGGCCGGCCGGGAGGAGCTTCCGGGGTTGCTAAGGAACGGGCGCCCGCTTCCTGCCTGGCGCGGGTCGGCCTTCCCCGCTGTTCCTCCGGTGCCCGCGGGAGACGAGAGGGAGAGGCGGCCATGGCGGCTGGCGGGCCGCGCGGATGGGTGCTGGCGCTGCTAGTTGCCCAGGTGAGCGTCCCTCCGCGGGAGGCGGGGAGAGGGGCGGCCGGCCGGCCTCCGGCGGGGTCCCCGAACTGTCCCGGCTGCTCTGCCTCCCGCCAGGTCTCCGGCGAGTACGGCGTGGCCCGCGTCTTCCCGGAGAAGGGCGGCGGCGGCGGCGGCGGCGGCGGGAAGGACTACTGCATCCTCTTCAACTCGCAGTGGGCCCACCTGCCGCACGACCTAGGCAAGGCGGTGAGTCCCCGGGGGGGGG